TGAGGAGGCCCTCAGGCGGTGTCGGCCTGAGCCCCTCAGCTCCCCAGAAGAGCTGCAGACCCCGGATGGTGCCGTGCGGGTGCTGTTCCTGTCCAAGGGCAGCAGCCGGGCACACATCCCTGCTCCCCTGGAGCAGGGAGTGGTGGCCGCCTTCAAGCAGCTGTACAAGCGGGAGCTGTTGAGGCTAGCTGTGTCTTGTGCGGGGGGCTCCCCGTTGGACTTTATGCGCAGCTTCATGCTCAAGGACATGCTGTACCTGGCCGGCCTCTCCTGGGACCTGGTGCAGGCTGGCAGCATTGAGCGGTGCTGGCTTCTCGGCTTGCGGGCGGCCTTCGAGCCTCGGCCCAGTGAGGAGTGTGTTGGGCAGCCAGCGGGCCAGGCCGAGGAGGCCGCGGAGCACAGCCGGGTGCTCAGCGACCTCACGCACCTGGCGGCCCTGGCCTACAAGCGCCTGGCGCCCGAGGAAGTGGCCAAGTGGCTGCATCTGGACGATGACGGGGGGCTGCCGGACAGCTGCAGAGAGGAGGCAGGCCCTGGCCGGCCCCCGGTGCTGGCCCCTGCCGCCCCTCCACCCCCCGCCAGCCTACCCTCTGTCATGGGGGGTGGAGAGGAGGAGGAGGAGGCCGCGGTGCCCACTGCTGGGGAGGCGGTGCGGGGACTAGAGACAGCTCTTCGGTGGCTGGAGAACCAGGACCCCCGGGAGGTGGGGCCACCGAAGCTGGTGCAGCTGCGCTCACTGATCAGCATGGCCCGGAGGCTGGGAGGCATTGGTCCTTCTCCCGCAGTCCCCGAGGACGGGGTGTGACCAAGCCAGCCCAAGTGGCCCCCCAGTGGCTGTTCTCCTGCTGCACTTGGAGGGAGGGGACACACAGTCTTTCCGTCTCCTCTCCTCCCCTCCCCAGAGGTGGCCCACCCTATGGCTCAGGGGGTTCCAGGGACCCCAGCACGGGCTGGCTTGGAGGGGCTCTGTTGGTGAAGGGTCGTTCTGCTCACTGGTCCCCCATCTCCTGAGGGAGGAGCTAGAAGAGAGGCCTCGGGCTCATACACCTCCCTGGGCAAGCACACTCGTGGGGTCTGTGGTTCTGGCCAGGGTCCTTGCCGCACACACGACACCACGCACTTAACAGGGCAGCTGTCGGCGTTCCCGCCCCGGCCTTTGAGAGCTGAGATCTTCAGCCCTGTGCCTGTCTGTACCTCTGGCCCTCCTCCCCAGGCGCCCGTCACGTGCCCCGGACGAGGGTCCAGCACTCCTGTCAGTCTGGAGCTCTGGTGCTTTGTGGCTCCCGCGCTACAGCCACGTGATCATCTCCACGGGGAAGCACCCCAGTCAGTTTTGGTGTTTAGCACATTAAGTCCATTTTTACAGATACCCCTCATGGGAGCCAGGGTGGCGTCTCACCCCCACCCCCAGCCTGGGGCCAGTCTTGGAGGTTGGCTCTGTCGGCTGGGAAGGGAGGATAGTGCCCGGCACTCGGGGGGGCCGGGCGTTCCGGGTGCAGCAGGAAGTGTAGATTTCTGTTCCACTGGGATTGTTAGTTTTCCTTAGGAAGATTCCATTCCAAAGTCACACCTATTCTGTGGGGTTGGCAGCCTTCTAGCCTTTCTGGGCCCTGGTGATTTGACCGATGGCTGAATGAGCTCCCCAGACCAGCCACAGCCCACTCGGTCCAGCCCCAGGGCCCAGAGCCACGCCACCTCCTCGGCACTGGCCTGCGGCACTGACGGCCACACCAGGACAATCCCACAGTGCCTTAGTGCCCTCCAAGGCTTTTCCATCCCTCCAGCACTGCCAGGGGCGTGACGAAGGAGGGCTTCCCACAGCCCCAGGAATTGGGCTTCCGAGTGGCCCAGCTGGAGAGAGGGAGGCAAGTGTTGGTGTGTCACTGCCCCGCTCTGGGCTCAGTCCTGCGGGTGGTCTGGGACCCAGAGGCGCCCGGGGCCTTCGGGGACTGTCTGGGGAGCTGCTGCCCAGAGCTCTCGTGGAGGGTGGGGGCTGGGTCTGCGGTCCACACCCCCACCGCCCGCGTGCTCGCCGGACACTGCGGAGGCTGTAGGCCGGCAGTGTGCTGGTGGGAGGGAGGGGCAATGCACTGGTGAGGGAGCCCCCGGAGCAGCTCCCCGAGTCTGAGAACATAAACCGCTCCTTGGAGCTGTCCTCAGTCGAGGTGTGTGCGTGTTACATACGTGGGTCTCAAATCTGAGAGCTGAGGGAAGAAGTGGAGCATTTGGAAGCTTGAGCAGGCAGGGGCCCAGCTGGCACCTCTGCTCGCTCATCTCAAGCCTGCACCCCTAGAGGAGCCGGTGGCCGGCTGTGGCTGGCCCTGAGACTCTAACCCAAGCAGCTGGCACGGGGCTTCAGGAAGCCTTCCTTCCACCACCTGATGGCAGCTCAGGGACGTAGGGCTGGGAGCCCGCAGGCGCTAGGCAGGGGTGCACCTGGGGCTCCAAGAGTGTCTTCAGGAGAACGGCTGAATACTCAAAGCAGCAAAGGTTGTTACTCTTAGGAAGAGGCTGTTGGGCCTGCTTGGGGTGTCCGGAGGGCATGGCAGCGGGCTGCAGAAGGGGGCACTGGGAAGTGGGTGTGTGGGCTCCTATTAAAACCACACTTAACTTGTGTTTTGGGGAGAGTTGCCCATCTGAGATGCACGGCCTTGCCCGAGGGGGCTACGTGCTTGGGAAGCGACCCCCAGACATGGAGTGGACTGCAGGTGCAACGCCACCATGTGGGGAGGGGAACGGAGCGCCCGCGAGCTGAGGGGACCAGGGACCCCCAGCCCACGCCTCCACCCACTGTAGGTCAGGATTGCTATGCGGAGCCCTAGGATGGGCGCTGGGCACTGCTTGTCCCCAGATAGGGGTGTCCCCTGGTGAGGCTCATCTCCAGAGGCGTGTCCTCCAGGGGACCGTGGGCTTATGGGGGTGCACGCAGTCGAGCCTTTTCACGCCCATCCTTGCCAGAGGTGTTCACCCAGTCAGCCCAATGCGCTTTGTAATAAAAGTTCATGTCAACTTCATACGCATCCCTGTTCTAAAGTCTTCTTTTAATATATTTTTTTGAATTTGGGGTATATTTTATTTTTTTAAGTAACCTCTACATGAAACACAGGGGCTGAACTCCTAACCCCAAGAAACAAGAGTTTCATTCTGTAGGACTGAGCCAGCCAGGTACCTGTAAAGTCTTATTTTTATAATTTTCTATCCAATACTTAGATCTAGAACACCTCATGATTCAAAAAAGCGAGAAAGACAAAAAAACTGATGAAAGGAGAGACTAGACCCACCAGTCTCTTGAAAACCTAACTTTAGCCTTGTGGCATAAGCGGGCTTGTGGCCAGCCAATGATCAGGCTGCCGACCCGGCCCCCAAAGCCACTCTCGTTCCCGTCCTGTCCAGGGCCATCGCCATCTGGGGCGAGGCTGCCCCGCCAGCCAGGCTGGGGGCTCAGGAAGACGCCTCTCGTTCAGTGAGTGGCCTGCTCATGGCAGGGCTGGTCACAGGTTCGTCCCCTGCCCCACAAGCCAACCCGCCCAGGTTCTCAGGGACCGCGTGGGGAGATGCGCTGCTGGAGCCCACCGACACACCGGAGGGTGAGGCTGGGGTGTCAGGAAGCCAGCGACCCCACCTGACCAGAGCTCTCTGGTGATGGTGACGTACAGCCAGGGCGGGTCGCCCCTGCCCCCACGCCACCTGCGCTCGACCAGCTCCCAGGAGCCCCGTGCCCCAAGCCTCAGCTCTGATGTACCTCTAAGCCCTTGGAATCTGGCTCTGTCAGCCCAAGTATGGTCACTCAGTGCTACAGGACAGCAGCGTCTTTATTCCCATCTCAGAGAAGTCAGAAATGTCCTCAGGCTGACCCTCCTAACAGGCAGGAGGGCCAGTGTGCCAAGATGGAATGGGGCGGTGGAAGGGGGGTGGAGGGCAGGAGCGAGAGCAGGGTGGGCACTGCTACAGTGGCGGGGGGGGGGGGGGGGGGGTATGTGCCACCAGGCCACCTACAGACAGGACTGATTTGCTCGTCTCGGCCTGCAGGTGGCACAATCAGCTAGCTCCACCCCGTGACTGGCACAGTGTCGGGAGGCCACTGGGGGAGGGGAGGGGAGCTCCAGCACTCCAGGGCCTTGCCGGGGGAGGGGGGTGGGCAGTGCGGGCAGCCCACCCTCCACCACAGGCCCCACAGCCTCAGTTCGGGACCTGAGTTCCCTGCCCTCCGGGCTGGTTGCTCCATTCAGGGACATGCCAAAGAGCCACGTCCTGCAGTTGAGGCCAGGCCACGAGACCCTCCAGGACAACCCATGCAAGGGTCATCAGGGCAGATCACCCAGATCCTGCTCCGCAGGGGCAGGGGGCCCACGGCCAGCTGAAGCCAAGTCTCTGTCCCGCAGCTGGCCGGGCCACCCTCCCAGACCGCCCGTGGCCTGCTGCCAGCTGGAGCACTGCGGCCACCCTGCGGGGGCTCTGCTCAAGTGTCCCCAAGGGAAGGACCTGGGTGCAGCTCCTCCTCAGCCAGGGCAAGGACACCCAGCCCCGTTCTCTTCTTGGGGCCTGGCAGGGTCAGGGCCCAGCTCCCTGTGGGTAGCCCCACCTAATGGCAGGTCAGCCTGGGGACGAGACAGATGTGGCTGGCTTCATTGCACAGAGCAAGTCTCTTGTGCAGTCTCTGCGTCACCCCCCAGCTGGCGGTGGTTACACAGCTGTCAGAAGGGCCCGCCCAGCTTCTCTGCTCCTGCCTCACGCAGCCAGCCCACCACGTCCCAACGCTCAGGCCCCCAGAACCCAGGCCACCCAGGAAGGGGTGCCACCGCCACGGTGCTCTCTGCCCCATGGTAGGGGGGGTTCCTACAGGTGAGGGGATCCCCTGCCTGCGAACCCCTCCAGTCCTGTCTTCATTTCCTCACGCAGGGATGGGGCAGCCCTGGGGGTTCCTGCCTGAGGGAGAGCTGCAGTGCCGGGAAGGGGCAGGGAAGGAGGGCCTGGGGGTGGCCACGGCCAGTGCCCGCTCCCTACTTCCCGCTCAACTCCCTGGCCCGGCAGGTGGCAGCCTCCACGGCGCTCATGGTGGCAGCCCGCAGCCCGCCCCGCTCCAGCGCATGGAGCCCATAGATGGTGGTGCCGCCCGGCGTGCACACGTCTGTCCGCAGCTGAGCCGGGTGCTGCCCCTTCTGCAGCAACAACTTGGCCGTGCCCTGGGGAGAGGGGCACCGGCGGTGACTCAAGGGAGGCTCAGTCCCACTGTGTAGCCTGCTCTGCCTGCCATCCCAGATCCTAACTCAGGTTTCCCGGGCCTGCTGTCTCCCTTCCCGCTGCTCTGCAGACACCCCAGCCTATCCCTCTTCACACAGTCCCTGGGGGCTGCCCTCACTCACCAGCAGGGTCTGGGCAGCAATGCGGTGGGCCAGGCCACTGGGCATGCCCATCTTGATGGCACCTTCGGCCAAGGCCTCGGAGAAGGCACACACCTGCAGCAGTGAGGGGTGGGGACTGACAAAGCTGACGCTCTCCCTGGATGAAGCACCCAGTCTGGAGAAAGCGTAGAACCTTCAGAAACAAGGCCCAGAGCACTGGCCACCAGTGCAGGAACCCGGTCTGAGGCTTGAGCCCAGGGCTCCGACTGGAGGAGTCCTGAGCCTCAAAGAGGGGGGAGAGCAGAGATACAGGCAGCTCGGGGATCAAGCCATCTGATCCCAAAGGCAGGGGTCACTGCAGGGACTTGAAAAGGCTCTGCTCTGTCAAGGGCCGGCCTGGGGGGTGGGGGATAAGACAACACTCACGAAGGCCACGCCGCTGCCACTGAGGCCGGTGTGGATGTCCACGTGGGCCTCAGGCACCTCCTCGCACTGCCCGCAGGCCTCCAGCAGGGTCTGCAGGAGCTCGGCGTCGCTGTTTCCAGTGTGGCGGCCACGGGCCATCACCATAGCGCCCTCTTGAACCACGCAGGGCAGGTTGGGGGAGATCCGCAGCACCCGTGTGGCTGGTGGCAACAGCTGGCCAGAGAGAGGCAGGGGTCAGGGAACGGGTGGGGTCGGCGCTGCCAGGCAGGCCTTCGCCTCCGCCAGCCGTGGGCTCCCCTCCCCGGGTCCTGGGCGCGGTGCCAGGAAGAGCCTGAACCTCAGGCCCCTCGGCCCCCTGTTCGGGCTGTCTGGAAGGCCAAGTGTCACACGTCTCACCCATCCCGCCTCCCTAAAGGGCTAGAGTCAGGTTGGCACCAGTCTCAGATGGCAAGGGGTGGGAAGCAGAGCCTGGCCAGCAGAACTGACTCCGGGGGCAAAGCCTCACCTCCCACATAACCCCCACTCACCTCCTCCAGGGTACTCAGAGAGATCCCGGCGGCCACAGACACCAAGATGTGCTCAGGGGTTACCACGGGGGCCACCTCTGCCAGGACAGCTGGCAGGACATGGGGCTTGGTGGCAAAGAAGACTAACCAGCAGTTCTGCACAACCTCCTGGTTGGAGTGGGTGGTCTGGCAGCCCAGAGCCTGCAGTGGGGACAGCGGGATCATGGCTGGGGTGAAGTGCGGCAGCCTCCCAGACCATGGCCCTTCCTGCTAGAGGCCACCCTGCATCCCCAGGGGTCCCCAGGGATCTCTCCTCCCATTGCAAACGCCTGCACCAGCCCCCTCACAATGCCCAAGACTCACCCAGACCACGGGTTCTTGCTCAGGACCCAACCTGCCCCTCACGGGCCTTGCTGATGTCAGGACCTCCTCACGCCCTCTGACCCCAGTGAGGGCCCACAACCATCTCTGCCCACACCAACACACAGATACACGTGCACACACACACGCCCCGTTACTCCGCCCTTGCTCTCCACAACCTTGACTTTCCTTCTAGTCTCTGACCTCCTCTTTCCCCAACCCAGACAGTCTCAAAAGTTTAGCTAACTAAGCAGCATTCCCTTGTCCCCAGGAAGTGTCTCAGAGGAACAGGAGCCAAGAGCCACCATGAGCCCCCTCTCCCCCCCCACCAGGATAGCCTCGACTCAGAAGAGCCGGGGACCAGCTCACCCGGAAGTGGCAGAGGTTCCTGTCACTTGGTGCGCTGGCTAGTATGTGTTGAGCTTCGACTTTTCCTGGAGAGAAAGGCAAAGAGCAGAAGGGTCAGTGAGGAGGTGGGGTGGAAGGAAGGAACAGGGGCCAGCCTGGCCTGCCCCTCACCGAAGGGTCTCTCACACTCAGCCATGCCTGGGCCATCCTGGCCGCTGGCTGCCTGAGACTCTGTAAGAACCGAAGTGATGGGGCGCCTGGGTGGCGCAGTCGGTTAAGCGTCCGACTTCAGCCAGGTCACGATCTCGCGGTCCGTGAGTTCGAGCCCCACGTCGGGCTCTGGGCTGATGGCTCAGAGCCTGGAGCCTGTTTCCGATTCTGTGTCTCCCTCTCTCTCTGCCCCTCCCCCGTTCATGCTCTGTCTCTCTCTGTCCCAAAAATAAATAAACGTTGAAAAAAAAAATTTTTTTTTTAAATAAAAAATAAAAAAATAAAAAAAAAAAAGAACCGAAGTGCGTGGCAGGCGTGTTCCACTCGGCTGGGACCAGGCAATCACGTCCATCCTGTGGTACTTGTCAGTCTCCACCACCCATCTGTGGCCGCGGCCGCAGACCCCGCTAGACACAGGGGCCAGGAGCTTGCCTAGTCTCATGAGGACATGGATCTCAGGGGCCTATACCTCGAGGGACAGGAAGGCAGGGGAGGAGGGGGCCGTGGTGGGTAGGGAGGCCAAACAGGGGCAAGCTTCCGGGGGAGCTGGGGGTATATCTGTGCTGGGATGTCCGCGCTGGGGCTAAACGCCCATTTGGTAGAAATCATCTGCACCTGTCGGGTACAGGGCTGAGGCAATTAAGTTTCTGTAAGGTCTAACAGGAAGACAGAAGTGCACCCCACAACCCAAACACAAGGCCAGTTAGGACAATGACAAGTGCCATGCATTCCTACCGCTACTGTGTTCAACACTGAATCTGCACCACCCTGGAAGGAAGGAGATACTGGCGGTTTTATAGGTAAAACACTTGAGAGTTTTGCAGTAAAGTATTTTCTGATGATTTTGACCCCACTGAACCTTGACTGTGGCTGAAGGGAGAAAGCCAGCCTATAATCTACACGTAAAGGTTTCTAAATCCTGTGGAGTAAGTTTAGGGACAGCATTATCATGCCTTGCTGCAAACCAGTGGTTCACCACCAGGGAAGTCTCTGCCCCTTTCCAACCCCAGGGGACTTGTGGCAACTGCTGGAGACAGTTTTGCCTCTCACAACAGGGGATGCTACTGACATCTAGTGGGAAGAGGCCAAGGACGCGGCCAAACACCCTACAATGTGAAGAATGGAGAATTATCCCACCCCAAATGTCCACAGTGCTGCGGAGGTTGTGAAAACCTGCAGCGCGCCGCCAGAGTAGAGCCGGCAAACAAACAGGAAACAGGAGGCTCAAAGGTCAGGCAACTGGACCCAGGCAGACCAGGTAGTTAGTAGGAGATCCCGGGCTCTAAGCTAGCGCTGTCCAAGAAAAATATCACTGAAGCCACGTAGAGAACTTCACGCTTTCTAGTAGTCACATTAAACAAGTAAGGAAAATAGGTGAAATCAATCGTAACATATTTGACTTAACACGATATAAAGAAAATGCTATTCTTCCAAAACTTCGTTTCAGTCAGCATTAAAAGTTACCAAAATATGTTACTTTCTCTTTTCTTGTGTGCTAAATCTTCCAAACCCGACGTAGATTTTATGCCATAAACTCACGCCACATCTCAACGCGAACCATCCACATTTCCATGGTGGGCGGTCTATGGCCCCATGTGGCTCCTGGCCAGTGCGGGGACAACCAACTCTAAGCCTCCTACGCACAGCCGTCCCCGCTGTGCTCACAGGGACGCAGGGTCCCCAGGAGCAGAGTCCGCCTTCCGCCCGGGCCCACGCCCGCCGGGCCGGACCCGCCCCGCTCCGCTTCCACGGTGCCCTCGCTCCCCGCCCAGGAGCTCTGCGGGATGCATCCCTCCACGCAGAGAAACCCTTCCCTCGCACAACCGGCCGGTGTCGGACGCCCGCTGGTCCCCAGGCCCAGGGACCCACGCGCCCCCACGCCCGAGGCGCCCTACCTGCTCGAATGAAGCCCTGCGCGAGGGCCTCTGCCATACGCCCGGCGCCAACAAAGCCCACGCGTAACTGGTCCAGACCGGGTGCCGCCACCACCGCCATCTCGCCACCGCCCCGCCAGGCCTTGCTCCGCCCCACGCCCTCGGCCCCGCCAATGGGCTACGCCGGCCCGCCCTGTCCTTGTCTATTGGCTGCCTGGACTTCACGCCCCGCCCACTCCCTTCCGGGCTCTGCGCCCTACCGCTCGACTAGCAGTACCGCTCCAGTCCCTCCCCGCGCTGCTCATTGGTCCGGGCGAGCGGGGCGCTGCGGCTCCGGTGGGCGGGGCGCCGCGCCCCGTCTTCCACCGCGCGTTGGAGAGTCTGGCAGAAGCGCCGCGTCTGGCGAGGTGGGTGAAGCTTCCGTGGCAGGATTCTGGGGGCCTAGTGTCGATCAGCTCCTGATCGGAGCTTGAGAGACTCCGTTCAGTGGCCAAGGGTTGGAAAAGGTGGGGGTTCCTCCGAGTCCTTCCGGAGGTCTGTGCCCTGGAGCGTGCCTGGTTGGGTGTCCCTCGCGCGAACGCCGCAGAGTCCGGGAAACCACTGGCGCTGGACAGTTTAGCCTCCAGGTGAAAGCATCGTCCTGATTCCGATGAAGGGCCCGGGCGGGCGAGGTCCTGACCCTGGCCAATCGTTACGACATGTCAGGAGCTAGGGAGTGGAGCCCTACCAGCCTTAGGCCGTTTTCTCTGGGTGGCAGCCACGTTCTCAGGGGCACCCAGGTTCTCTCTTTGGAACCTGGGAGCGGACTCGGGTGGGGAGGGCAGGGCTGCCTGGCCAGGGCTTGTTGTCAGCCCCTGTCCAAGCTTCAGCAGGTCCAGGTGACAGTATAGCATTAGCACTGCCAGTGAAATGTGTGAACGGGGCATGTATTGACTGCATTAATGAAGTTCCTCCAGCCAGCCTGGATCTTGGTTTTCGTGGGCCTCGCAGGTTGCTGCGATAAGGCAGGAGAGGTCTTCCTGAGGCCTGGCTCCCCAGCGGAGACCTGGCCCATCTTGTTGTTGGTCCTGGGGGAGATGGGAGTGCTTGGCCACCGCCAGGGCCCATGTTTGAAACTGATGGAAGGGTAGCGGTAGTAGTACTTGTTTTTCTTTTTTCAGTTTATTTATTTTGAGAGAGAGAGCGAGTGAGCCTGGGGGAGGGGCAGAGAAGAGAGAATCTCAAGCAGGCTCCACGCTGTCAGCACAAAGCCCAACTCGGGACTCGATCCCGTGATCCTGGATCATAACCTGAGCTGAGATCAAGAGCAGGGTTTTTTGTTTTTTTTTTTTAATGTTTATTTTTGAGAGAGAGAACGCAAAAGGGGGAGGGGGAGAGAGAGGGAGACAAGAGAATCTGAAGCAGGCTGCAGGCTCTGAGCTGTCAGCACAGAGCCTGACACGTGACTCAAGCTCATGAACCGTGAGATTGTGACCTGAGCCAAAGTCAGACGCTCAACCGACTGAGCCATCCAGGCACCCCTCAAGAGCCGGCCTCTTAACCAACCTGAGCCCCCCGGGTGTCCCAAATGTTTGTAATCTTTAACTGGCACGGGAAAAATAAAGCTTGGAGAGTGAAGATGGTAGTTTTTCTGTTTAAGATTGCATTTTAAAAACGTTTTAGGGCGCCTCGCAGTTGGGCATCCAACTCTTGATTTCAGCTTGCCTCTTGGTTTTGGCCAGGGTGGTGATCCAAGGCCACGGGATCAGACTCCACACTTAGCGTGGAACCTGCTTGAGATTCTCACTCTTTCCCTCTGCCCCTCCCCGCACGTATGCTCTCTCTCTCTAAAGTAAGTAAAATTTTTAAAGATGTTTGGTTACTCTAAACTCTACTTTGACACATTCTAAACTCTTCAACGATGAAATCCCCTCATTCACTCAGCACTGCCCCTGCAGGGTGTGAGCCCTGCTCCAAGGAAAGCCATGGAGCAGCAGACTGGGCCGCGGAACCCCTACCTTGAGGACTTGCATTCTGGCTGGGGACGCAGCCCCTCTGTGACGCGATGCGCACACACACACACACACAGAACAGTACGGAGGATGGCTCAGGACACACAGCCACTCTTTGTGTCCTGCCACGTGTGTGCAGGTCTCTGCTCTGCAGGGGCCTCCCTCTGTATGTGCTCACGTGGCTGGCTCAAGCTCCATCTCAGGCACCACCCCCTCCCTGAACTCCTGAGCAGAGCCTTCTTTGTTCACAAGGGCTGGAGCCCAGGGAATACAGGGCTGACCCACGTCCTAGAGCTCAAGTCCTGGGGGGAGGAGCAGGCTCCCAGGTGCTCCCAGACCAGCACACAGGAGTCCCACAGCAGAGTGGGCACTCAGAGAAAGGAACACCTCAACTGAGGCCTAAAAGGTGGACAGGCACTGACATGAGGGTCCTGGGCCAGCCCCAGCAGAGCCCTGCGGGAGAAACACACAGCCTGCTGGAGAAGGGGTGGGGACAAATGCCATGAAAGACCAGCTAGGTACAGGGACAGAGGTGGGAATTTGTGTGCCTGGCACTGAGAAGACAGCCAATACTGCCTGAACAGAGGGAGGAATTAACATGGCAGACACATCTGGGGTCAGAAGGAAGCTGGGGGCCACCTGCATGAGGATGACCAAGGGTGACCCAGGAGAGAGGGGACCTGAGAGGAGGCGGGCCCAAAGCCAGGGAAGGTGTCTGGGTCCTGGGCTAGGCAGTACTGAGGGTTTTCAAGTTGGGTACTCCTGGGTCCACACCCCAGCACTGACTGGCTGGCTGGGGGACTCTGCTGTATTCCTGCTGAGAATGGGGAGGCCTGAGCTGCTCTCCCCTACCCACCTTTGTGACAGGCCCTCCTCTGTGACACCTTTGCTACTGTCCAGGGAGAAGGTCGGGCCAAGCCCCATCACAAGCTGCGGCCTGATGGCTAGGGAGATGAGGGGCCAGGCCTGGCTCAGCTCTCTCTTGGGGTCCCAATCACCACGCTCCCCTTGGGTCCATCCAGATGCCTACTCAGCCTGTCCAACTCCAGAGCAACCTCATGGCCCAGGGTCCTGGGGCAAACAGGCAGGCCCCGGGAGTTCAGGCCACCCAGGCCTGCATATGACCTCATGTGGAAAGGCTAAGCGGTGGCCACAGCACCAGCTGGGACCACTAACAGGTGCTCTGCCCTGCACCCCCACCACTTGACTGTGCACTGCCTCCGCCCTGCAGCCTACCCAGGTACAGCTGGCCACCCTGGCCCAGCAGCTTTCTGAGGAACCAGCAGGTGAATGGTGGGTCCTGGGGCCAGCCAGGCGCACGGAGGCAGTGCCCATGGTGGGAGGGACACAGCTGGCACAGAGCTGCTGGGGGTAGGCCTGGGAAAATAGACTTTATTGGCTCCCAGGGAATGGGAGAGCAGGATCAGAAGTGGACACGCTTAGGACCCAGAGACCGGCATTGGGGAGCAAGGTGCCGGGCCTGGCCAGGCCTTGGTTTCCCTGAGGACAGACACGAATGGTGGCCTCACTGCACAGCTGCTCAGAGCCGCCCTGGCAGAGGGGTGAGAATGTGGGCCCCCGGTGCTGGCAGTGCCCTTGGCTCCCGGCACGGTCTGAGGGTGTCATCTCTGGGGCTTCGGGGGCAGCCGGCACCTGCTCCCACACCGTGCTTCACTTCCGGGCCTGTTCGTAGTTGTGGGTGAACCAGGCACAGGTCTCCTTCACAGCTGCAGAGGTGGGCGGGTGACAGGTGGTGGCAGGTGAGGGCCGAGGCTGCGCTGACCTCCACTGGAGGAGATGCGGAGGGTGGAGACCCCAGGACACAGGCAGTCACCCCTTCTGGGTCCTGCCTCCCCGACAAGGGTTTGGACACCAAATCTACAGGGTGTCTTCAGCTCCAAGCAAGGAAGCCACTGCTTAAGGAGGGGCAGGAGTGACCCAAAGCCAAGAAGGAGGGGCTGGGAGGTCCCGAGGGATGGGGTGGGAGAGCCACGGGAGGGCCGGGGGCTCACCCTGCTTGAAGGGTGTGAACCGGAAGTCGGGCAAGTAGGTCCGAAGCTTGCCGTTACTGGCCGTCTTCTTGAACTGCCCATCTGACTTGCTTGTATCAAACTAGGTGCCCTGTCAAGGCCACAGCACAAGGGGCACCCGCCCCACCAGCCTGCCCTTGAACCTGCCTTTCCCAGGGGAGCTCTGGGGACAAAAGAGCGCCCCTCCTCTCCAGCTGCCAGGCGAGAGCCATGCTGCATCCATCAGCCCCACAGCGTCCTGCCCCAGAGCCAAAGGATACAGTGACCTCCCCGCGGAAGTCCATGGCCTCCACCACGGCTTCGGCTGCCTCCTGGATAGAGACCTCATCCTCCTCGCCCACTGTGGGGAGCAGGGGGGACCAACAGTCAGGTGAGGCCTCCTCCACGCGGCCTTGCAGCTACCCAGCCCCCCGCCACACTCCCATTCCCAGCCCCAGCTGCCCTCGGCACAGACGTGGGTTCTGCCCCGGGGCAGGGGCAGTGGGGCCACAGGGTGCCCACCTGACAGGATGATGGGTTCCACCTCATCGTACTCCCGCAGGACCCAGATGAAGAGCCGAGCCAGGTCCTGGAAGTCAGACAGGGTCAGAGGACACAAGTCACGCCCACCTGGAGCCACAGGCCACCTCTCTTGGGTGGCCCTGTTCGGTGAGGGCACAGCCTGGGCTCCCCGGGGGGGAGGTCTCTCCCTTTGGGCAGCTTAGCCACCCCAGCCTACCTGACAGAGAGTCTTATCTTTCACTGAGCTCAGAGCTGCACCCAGCGACTCCCATGGGGCCAGGCACCTATAGGGACCCAGCGAGGACCAGTGGCTGCTGCTCCAGAGGCTCAGCCTGGACCCTCACTCCTTTCTGGGGCTCCCTCACACTATGGCCTTCCCACAGCCAGCATGGCAGGCCAGGGAACGTTCTAGTAGAGAGCTAGGCCCAGTCCTGCACAAACCAATGAGTAGATGAACTGCCTCCGTGGCTTGCCAGTGCCCCACACCGTCAGGGCTGAGCCGCTGCCTGCAGATTCAGGGAGGGGGCAGGTGTCAGAGGGGACTCCACCAGCCACCCCCCACCCCCCGGACCTCACCAAGCAGGCACTCACTCTTAGCCAGGTGCACCTTGTGGATGAGGCCGGGCAGCACGTGGCCGTCCTCGATGTTGAAGTTGTCGTGGGGCCCGAAGACGTTGGTTGGGATGACGGCGGTAAAAGTGCAGCCGTGCTGCTGGAAGTAGGCCCTGCAGGGTCACAGCGTCTCTTGCGGCGCTCGCCTGGGACCGCTGACCCCACCACACCCGCCCTGGCCTCTGAGGGGGGCAAAAACCGAGGCCCGCAAAGAGAGGGCACGATGCTTGGGAGCTGTGCCAAGGTACCCACTGGGCCCTCCTCCCTTTTCCTGTCCGGCCTCAGCCGGGCCAGCGGGCGGACGACCTGTTCTGCACGTCGATCATCCTCTTGGCGTAGGAGTAGCCAAAATTGCTGTTGTGCGGCGGCCCATTGTGGATCTAGGGGAGCAGAGGCAGCCTTTGCTTTCCTGGCCCCGCCCCCGCTG